ATATATATATATATATATATATATACACCCTAAACCCTAAATTAGGGTTTAGGGTTTAGGGTTTAGGGTTTAGGGTTTAGGGTTTTGAGGGAAAAATATTTCTATATATTCAATATTTAATACTTTATCTATCTAGTATATTAACACGCTTTTTTTTACAAAAACCCTAATTTAGGGTTTAGGGTTTAGGGTTTAGGGTTTAGGAATATTAGGGTTTAGGGTTTAGGGTTTACCTTGTAGATTTAACAGAGAATCCTTTAGTTCTATGTAAATGATCAATTAATCTTCCGGGTGTACAGACAACTATTTTAGGGTTTTTTGCTAGGGTTAGGGTTTGGAGGGAAAAGTCTACTCCTCCTACTAGTGCGCAGCAGCAACCACGAATTGCTGCTGCTGCTGCTGCTGCTGCTGCTGCTGTCTTCTCTGATGCTGCTGTTGCTGCTGTTAATGCCTGTACCCAATCAAATACCTGCAGCGCTAATTCGCGTGTAGGGGATAAAATAACAGCAAATGGGCTGCTGCTGCTGCTGCTGCTGCTGCTGTATCTGCTGCTGCTGCTCTGCAGCAGCAACTGCAGCAAAGGAAGCACAAATGCTCCTGTCTTCCCGCTCCCCGTAGAGGCAACAGCAATTATATCTCTGTGCTGCACTGTACGTACACCCTGCAGCCGCTGCAGCTGCTGCAGCACTAATGGTATTACTTGCTGCTGCACTGCTGTTGGTTTCTGCCATTTTGCTGCTGCTGCTGCTGCACATAATTCACGACATAAACCTAAAGAAGCAAATGTTACTTCCTTCTCTTCTTTCTCCTGCTGCTGCTGCTGCTGCTCCTCACCATCCTTCTGCTGCTTCTGGGGGGCGGTGCTGCTGCTGTGTGCTGCTGCTGCTGCTGCTGAGTCTGCTGCTGCTTCCTCCGCATCTCGCGGCCTTTTCTTCTCCCCCATCTTCCTCCTGTACCAGCTGCTGCTGCTGCGGTTGCTGCTGTTGCTGTTGCTGCTGCCCCTTGGCTGTTGCTGTTGTTGTTACTTGTATACTACTACTATTACTACTGCTGCCACTGCTGCTGCTGCTGCTGCTGCTGTGCTGCTGGCGGAAGGATCTATGCTGCTACCAGTGTTGCTGCAGTTATTGATGCTGCTGTTGCTGCTGCAAAGGCAGATCCTGCTTCCTTGTGAATTCGAATCCTTTTATAAAAAGAAAGTTGCCCGTTGTGGCTGCTGCTGCTGCTGCTGTTGCTGCTGCTGCTGCGGCTGCCGCTGCTGCTGCGGAGCAAACCGGCCAAGATCTTCCCGTTTTTGCTGCTGCTACGAGGCAGCATAAAACAATTTGTATTAAAAAGAAGAATATTAAAATATTTCAGAGAATTTGCATGCAGCAGCAGCAACTGCAGCAGCAGCAACACCAGTTGCTGCATGCATGCAGCCCCACGAAGACGACTGCCGACCTTCTATTGCATTTCTCCTTCTTCTTTAATTCTTTTTATATTTTTTTAAATTTATAAAAATAAAAAATATCTTGTGGGGCCCCTAACAGCATGCTGCTGCTGCGGCGGCGCTGTGTTGCGCTGCGTTTGCTGCAGCAGCAACAGCTGCTGCAGCCGCAACACCTGCAACAACAGCAACACGTGTTGCTGCCTGTCTTCCCGTTATCTCAACACCACTTCTTAAGAAATGAGTATACCCCAGTCTCAGACAGAGCCTCTTTCTCAACAATCAGCAGCAGCAGCAGCAGCAGCAAGACCAGCAGCAGCAACAGCAGCAGCAGAAGACGACCAACTGTACATCTTGTGTCAACAACAGAAGAAGCAGAAGCAGCAGCTGCTGCTATTTATAGTTCATCTCCTCCATTACCTGCAACACCGCTCACAACCTACCTCCGATGCAGGCGTTTCCGCATGCAACAAGAGCAGCAGCATCAGCAGCAACAACAGCATCAGCAGCAGCAACAGCAGCATCAGCAGCAGCAGTTCATTCCAATGACTCAACAAAGTACCAATACAACATCTCCCTCTTCCTCTTCCTCTTCCTCTTCCTCTTCCTCCTCCTCTTCCTCACCATCACCACCACCACCATCATCACCATCATCATCATCATCATTAGCAGCAGCAGCAGCAGCAGCAGCAGCAGCAGCAGCAGCAGCAGCAGCAGCAGGAAATAGTGTAGGTGCCCCCTTATTAATTGGGTGTGACAGTGAGGGAATAAATATGAATGGAAATAATTTAATTTCATTATTTCAATTTGGTGGAATTCCAAATTTATTTCTTATTATTCTTGATCTATATCAATTATATACTTTTCCTTATTCTATTATTAATATATTAGAGAATAATTATATATTAAAGGTTAGTTTTATTATTTGCTGCTGCTGCTGCTGTTGCTGCTGCTGCTGATGCTGTTGCCGTGCTTTTGATGGGCTTGGTGATGTATTATATGACCATTTCTTATTATTCTTGATCTATATCAATTATATACTTTTCCTTATTCTATTATAAATATATTAGAACATAATTATATATTAAAGGTTAGTTGTATTGCTGCTGCTGCTGCTGTTGCTGCTGCTGCTGCTGTTCCTGCTGATGCTGCTGTTGTTTTTGCGGTTCTTTTGATGGGCTTGGTGATGTATTATATGACCATTTCTTATTATCAGTAAATAGGTGATTCGTATCTTTGACTGCAGCAGCAGCAGCTGCTGCAGCAGCTGCAGCAGCAGCAGCAGCAACTGCAGCAAGAGCAGCAGGAGATGGTGGTGTGTGCATGCAGGTATTTCATGATTGTCGTGAGGATTCTGCTGCTCTTTACCGTCAGCATAACATTCGTGTCAACTTTGTATTTGATACACAAGTAAACCCTAAACCCTAAACCCTAAACCCTAGTTGGACTCCAGTTTGGTTATGTAGTCGCGGGCTTAGCGGTTCTTATTAGGATATGTACATTAGGGTTTAGGGTTTAGGGTTTAGGGTTTGTGGTTTAGGCGGCTCATCAGCTAATTTGTTTAAAGAAAGGAATTCCTCCTTATCAGGCATCATTGAGGGAGTTGCTGCAAACCTACCTAGGCATCACGTAAGCTAGGGTTTAGGGTTTAGGGTTTAGGGTTTAGATGAAGGTCGTTCTTTATTAGAAAATGATTCCTTTGCATTTTCTCGTCATCCCCCATACAATTTCAATATTTAAAATTTTTAGGGTTTAGGGTTTTCTAGGGTTTTCTAGGGTTTAGGGTTTGCATATACAGGGTTAAGGGTTTAGACGAAGGTTGTCCAAGAAGATGCATTTGTTTTTTCTCGTCGTCCTCCATGCAATTTTCATTTTTGAAATTTTAAGGGTTTAGGGTTTAGGGTTTAGGGTTTAGGGTTTAGGGTTTAGGGTTTAGGGTTTAGGGTTTGTGTACATAGGGTTAAGGGTTTAGACGAAGGTCGTTCAATATTAGAAAAAGATTCATTTGCATTTTCTCGTCGTCCTGTTGATTTTTCTCTTTTGCTTTATGCTGCTCTTGGTGTTAAACATCTTGTTCAACTTGCTCTTGCTATGTCTTGTCATATAGGTAACCCTAAACCCTAAACCCTAAACCCTAAACCCTAGATACTGACTGAATTGGCAAGACAGGGACGAGACAACAGCAGCGATATATACCATGCAGCAACACAAGCATGCAGAAAAGAGCATTCAAGGGGTTATTAGGGTTTATTAGGGTTTATTAGGGTTTATTAGGGTTTATTAGGGTTTATGAGGGTTTAGGGTTTAGGGTTTGTGTATATTATTTAGATCCAGAGGAAGTAATTAAGGCAAGCGAAGAGTTTACGATGTACAGACACCTCAATGAAGGGTTTACAAACCCTAATGATATGAAAAAGATTGGAACTGTATTAGAGGGTAAACCCTAAACCCTAATTCCATAAACCCTAAACCCTAAACCCTAAACCCTAACTCCCTAAACCCTAAACCCTAAACCCTAATTCCATAAACCCTAATTCCATAAACCCTAAACCCTAAACCCTAATTCCATAAACCCTAAACCCTAAACCCTAATTCCATAAACCCTAAACCGTAAACCCTAATTCCAGCGGAGTTCAGCCGTAAACGAAAATACCCAAACGGCATATCCAGTCATCTCAAAACCCTAAACCCTAAACCCTAATTTAGTGTTTATGTATGTGTATGTATATATATAGGGTTAGTAGTTGTGCGTACACCTGAGCAAATAATATTTAAATTAAACACTAATGCAACAGGAATTGTTTGTGCTCCTTCTACACTTAAAAGGTTCCAAGATGTTAACTTTGGTAAGTCCTGCTGCTGCTGCTGCTGCTGCTGCTGTTGCTGCTGCTGCTGCTGCTGCTGTTGCTGCTGCTGGTGGTGGTAGTACTACTGATAATGATGCTGTTGCTGCTGCTGCTGCTGCTATTACTACTGCTTACAGTAATGATGGTGCTGCTGCTTGTCGCGGTGGTCCACAGCTGCTAATGCTGCAACTGCTGCTGCTGCTGTGCTCCTGCTGCTGCTGCTGCTGCAGGAGACGTGGTTACGGTGTCTGTTGTAGGGGAGAGCGCAGGAGGAAAATATTTATATTTAGATAGGCATGATGGCGTCATAGACTACGCAGATAAGAACAGGTACTGCTGCTGCTGCTGCTGCTGCTGTTGCTGCTGCTGCTGATGGTGTTGCTGCTGCAGCAGTAACTAAGGGAGAAGCTGCTGCTGCTGCTGCTGCTACTGCTGCTGTGTTATTTTGCTGCAGACCTCGGCATCGATACAACACATCTATGAAACTTAGAGAGGTAACTATCTAGCTGCTGCTGCTGCTGTTGCTGCTGCTGCTGTTGTTGCTGCTGTTGCTGCTGCTGCTACTGTAGCTAAACTCCGTTGTGTGCTGCTGCTGCTGCTGCTGTGCAGGACTCGAGGGCAGACCCGCTGCTGCTAGCGCATTTAGATGAATAGCAGCAGCAACAACTGCAGCAGCAGCTTCTGCTGCTGCTTATACTACTTATGCAGCAGCAGCAGCTGCTATTACTACTACTGCAGCAGCAGCAGCTGCACCTGCTGCTGCAACATTATACAGGCAGTGTGCATTTAATTTCTTTGTCTCTGTTTATATTCCTACCTAAACCCTAAACCCTAAACCCTAAACCCTAAATTAGTGTTTAGTATACAGTTTTTTTTTCTGCACAATTTGCTGCATATAAAACCACAAAATAATCCTTAAAAGTAGCTGCTGTTGCTGCTGCTGCTGCAGCTGCTGCAGCAGCAAGAACAGCAGCAGCAGCACTTGCTGCTGCTGCTGCAGGAGGAAAAGAGGAAGAGTATAAGACTTGCGTCTCCCGTTTAAAGAAGTCACACGACAGTCGCAAACCCTAAACCCTAAACCCTAAACCCCCGCAGCAGCAGCAGCAGGAAGAAAGAGGACTTCCTCTTTGCTGCCGTTTTTGTTGCTGCTGCTATTGCTGCTGTTGCTGCTGTTGCCGTTGCTGCTGTTGCTGTTGCTGCTGCTGCTGTTGCTGCTGCTGTTAGGGATTGGTCATTAATAAGAAGACACAGACCAAACCCTAAAGAAGAAGAAACAGCAGCAACAAACCAACAACACTTCTGCTGCTGCTGCTGCAGCAGCAGCAGCAGCAGCTACTGCAGCAGCAACTGCTGCTGCATTTTTAGTTCCTGCAGCAGCAACTGCTGCTGCATTGGCATTTCCTGCAGGTGTTGCTGCAGCTGCTGCAGCAAACTGCTGCTGCAGCAGTTTCTGCAGTTAACTTCTGCTGCATCTAACTTCTGCTGCAGCTACGAACTGCTGCTGCTGCTGCTGCTGCTGCTGCAGCAACTGCAGCAGCAGCAGCAGGAGAAGGAGGGGAATTAGAATTGATTATATCTAAATTTATAATATACTTCTTTTGCTCCCCTTAATTTATAATTATCTATTATAAACCCTGCAGCAGCAAAAGAGGCTAGTAAGCCTAAACAATAACAAACAAAAAAGGCTGCACCCCCCATCTTCCTGCTGCTGTTGCTGCTGCTGCTGGTGGTGGTGCTGGTGGTGGTGGTTGTTGTAGTACTGCTGCTGCTGCTGATTGTTATATGCTCATGCATGCATGCATACATGCATGCAGACAAGCCAAGACACTCAACTGTTACGATTGCTGCTGAGAGTATGAACCTGCAGCACAAACGGCAGCAGCAGCAGCAACAGCAGCAGCAGCAACAACAGCAGCAGCAACAGCAACACACAAGGACAAACAGTTAGACATCATCATCTAGCAGTAATAAGAAAAAAAAACGATTAAAAGATCAGCCATACACACCAAACCCTAAACCCTAAACCCTAAACCCTAAACCCTAAACCCTAAACCCTAGACGAGCATCCGTCAGATCGGGGTTTAAGGGGAACAACAAGATTTAATTGTTTGCTGCATCTTTATAGAGACATCAGGGAATATAAATTAGGGTTTAGGGTTTGGGGTTTATAACGTCTTTAGAGTGTGTATTTGAGGGTTTAGGGTTTAGGGTTTAGGGTTTAGGGTTTGGTGAGCTAACCGATAAGGTATAAGGATACAAGAGAGCCAAAGAAGGTGAGGAAAAAGGTGCCCCAATCAATCATTGTGTATATTAATAAGAAAAGAAATAAAAATAAAATAAAAAGAAAGAAATAATTAATTTATCTTGTTCTTTTTCTTCTTGTTTATGATGGATAAGCGTATACAACACCACCACCGTAGGTATAGCTGCCTATACACCTGAAGGGTCCTTAGATAAGGACGCTGGTTGCCCTTATCCTTCTTTTACCGTCATTTTCCCCTTTTTACTTAATTTATTTAAATTATTTTATTAATGTTATTGATGCTTATTAAATTACACAAAAACCACAATTAAAAACGCAGAAAAATAACACAAAATAATAACCCCCCCTTCAGGTGTATAGGCAGCTATGAGCGCTTACCTCCTTCTTCCTCCTTCTTCTTCTTCTCTTTGTTTATTCACTATTTATTTCCTTTTATTTAAAAATTAATTTATTTTTATATTTAATTATAAACTAATTAATTTATTTTACATATAAAAGTATATTTTAATGGGTAGGCAGTACTAAGAAGGAGGGCAGCTTATTCCCTAAGGAAACAAAATATATATATGGATAAATAAGGAGGGGGGTAAGGAATAAATATAAATAAATAAATAAATAAATAAATAAAATTTATTTATTTATTTATATTTATTTTATTCCTTCTTTATTTATATTTATTACTCTTTATGCCAAATTTTTATTCAATTATATTTATTTTATTTATTATTTATTTAATTCATAATTCTTTTTTATGTATTTATTGTGTATTTACTGATTATTTATTTTATTTTATTCGTCTAGGGTTTAGGGTTTAGGGTTTAGGGTTTATTAAATAAATAAAATAAAATAATAATATAAAGATAAAATATTTTTGTCGTTTTTTTTTTCTTTTTATGTTATTTGTATAAAATAAAATAAATAAAACAAATAAAACTAAACAAGCTGCAGCAAATAGCTGCAGCAGCTGCAGCAGTTGCTCCTTCTGCTGCTGCAGCAGCAGCAGCAGCAGCAGCAAAACGCTGCAAAATCTTTCAAAGTGCACAGTTGAGGTGTACAGGCACCAAACCCTAAACCCTAAACCCTGAATGAGTTTGCTGCCTATACACCACTGCTGCTGCTGCTGCTGCTGCATGCATGCATGCATGCATGCATGCATTGCTGCGATGATATTGGGGTGTATAGGGAGGTATTTAAGGGACAAAAGTAGCTAACATCTGCAAACAAAAAAAAAAAAAATAAATAAATAAATAATTATATAAATAATTATAAATATATTTATAACAATTATATTTATTTATTTATTTATTTATTTATTTATTTATTTATATTTACCTGTTGTAATTTTTTTAATGCTCCTTTATTTTTAATTATTTTTTTTATTTTTTTTTCTTCTTTTTCTTCTGTTTGTTCTTCTTCGTCTAATTCAATATCTGCTGCTAATGCTAATTTACGCATTAAACCCTCAGTACGTTTCTCCTTCTCCTCCTGTACATAAACCCTAAACCCTAAACCCTAAACCCTAAACCCTAAACCCTAAACCCTAAACCCTACAAACTCTACAAACCCTACAAACCCTACAAACCCTAATTTAATTTACCATAGGAGAAAAACGGTATACCCTTGCTTGAGATACTAATAAACCCTAAACCCTAAACCCTCGATTTAGGGTTTAGGGTTTGGGTTTTTGCGTGCTAGGGTTTGCACTTATCTCTTCCCGGCTATCTAGCTGACTGTTGCTGTTGCATGCATTATAAGGGTTTACGAATTAGGGTTTTGTAAGGGTTTAGGAATTAGGGTTTAGGGTTAATAAGGGTTTAGGAATTAGGGTTTAGGGTTTATGAGGGTTTAGGGTTTATACCTGATGTTGTTCTTTTTCTACTTGATTAGCTAATTGGAAAAGAATAGATATATTATTTAATTTATTATTTAATAAAGAAATATCCCTAAACCCTAATGGGGGGGGCAAAACCCTCAAATCTTCTCCTGCCCTATTTAATAATAATTGCCAATTATCTGCCTCTGTACTTGTTATAAAACAAACCGCCTCTCCTGCACATAACAAACCCTAAACCCTAAACCCTAATTTTGATGATAATAATAATAAGCCATAAACCCAAGGGAATAGATTCACCATAAGCCCTAATTTGACGAATAAATAGGATTAATTATTAAGAGGGTTTAGGGTTTAGGGTTTATAATGAGGGTTTATGAGGGTTTATGAGGGTTTATTGTATATCGAGAAGTATAAAAGATAAGAAAGTGTTATAGGGTATTATTAGATATGTTGATTTGTAATGAATATATATATAATATTTATTTAGGGTTTAGGGTTTAGGGTTTATAAAAAAAATTAACCTTTTTGTCCAGCTCTAGCAGTTCGCCCACATCTATGTATAAATGTCTCCATATCTCTTGGACGCTGAAAATTAATTATTTTTTCGACGCTTCGAAAATCCAAACCTCTTGCTGTCATATCGGTGCTTACGAGGATACCGTACCTGCTGCTCAAGAATCTGCAGCAGCAGCAGCAGCAGCAGCAGCAGCAGCAGCAGCAGCAAGTGCAGTAGGAGCAGCAAGTGCAGTAGCAGCAAGTGTAGGAGTAGGAGCAGGAAGAGGAGGAGGAGAAGGAGGGGAAGGGATGGGAGAGAGAGGTGTATATATGTGAGGACAGAGACTCTACTACCAGGGACAGCAATAACAGCAGCAGCAGCAGCAGCAGCAGCAAGCAGCAGCAGCAGCAGCAGCAGTTAGTTAGTTAGTTAGTTACCTGTCAAGTCTTTTTAGCCTTTGTTTTTGTTGCAGATTAGAATGAAGACCACAAACACTAATTTGCTGCTTGTGGCGAATACGTAGCTGCTCACCCAGCAGCAACCTGCAGCAGCAGCAGCAGCAGCAGCAACAGCAGCAGCAGCATGAGCAGCAGCATGATCGTGTAGCTATGGAGGCGTATAAGGGTTTAGTTTTGTGAAGCTGTTAACAGATTAGGGTTTAGCAAGATTTATTTGAGCTAGGGTTTAGGGTTTAGAGTTAGGGTTTAGGGTTTAGGGTTTAGAGTTAGGGTTTAGGGTTTAGGGTTTACGCAAGAAGGGATTCTAATCTATAGACATAAGAAATAGCATTAACAAACAGCAGCACGCGCAGCTGCTGCTGCTGCTCTGCTGTCTTATCAAATGTACGCAGCAAATATGCAGCAAGTTGCATCTCCTGCAGCAGCAGCAACAGCAGCAGCAACAGCAGCAGCAGCAACAGCAGCAAACAGATATAAATGATGAGTGGCTCGTGCTGCACTAAGCTATTGTTCATCCTGTTGCAGCAGCAGCTGCTACTCCTTCTACTGCTGCTGTTGCTGCTGCTGTTGCTACTATTGCTGCTGCTGCTGCTATTGCTGCTGCTGCTGCTGCTGTTGCTGCTGCTGCTGCTGCTGCTTACCATATCTGACTGTAGAGGGCATTTCCATACACT